CCAGATTTATTATTTCTGCTGTGAAATAATTTTGATTTGGGCAGATTCTATGTTCATTGACAGAACGAAGTAAACAACAACATGCGGTCTTTATAGATATCGTTCAACTTCATCCACAAACTACACACTTACCTAATTAATCAATAACTTAATGTATGGAAATAATTTAAAATACTATAGACTAAAACTAAAATAGAATATATATATATATATATGAAGTGATCTACTTATATCCACATAAGTAGTATATAACGATTGTCAGAAATAGAATGCATTTCAGTAGACGATCGAGAAGGAAAGAACGGAAACGGAAAGCAATTGGCATGAAAATGCACGAACAATTAAGTCTGAAACGATGTGCTGATATTGGCAAAAGGAACAGTCAAGTTTGAGACAATTGACTGATATTTTGCAAATTTACCCTATGGTTCTCCGATTTTAGTGAGATATTTTGTAATAGCGCTGCGTATGCATTAGATATTGATTCATTTGGGGTAAAGAATATGTATTACAAACTCAACTAAACTAAACATTAACAGTATTTCAGTATGAAAAAAAAATTTTGATATTTGATGCAAAAGTGGTATTATGATGCTTAGATAAGTTACTAATACGATTGAAGTGGTCGAATTCATCAATTGCTCAACGAATTGTGAAACTCTAAATCTTTCGTTATACATGAAAAACAAAACTGCCAAACAACTGACTGATTGTTACAAATTATACAATCAGAAAGCAAAGTTATTTTCAAAATATTCAACGAAAACAATAATATTGGCATATATGTAATGCAACCTATCAAGCTAATAAGCGGTTGGGAGAGCTCTTTACTAAATCAGATCCATTGAAGCTGATGAATATCAAAGCAGCACACATAGACTTCCCTATAAATGATACCCTATCGACAAAGAAAGTAATTTGTTAGACTCAGACAAATCAGGAACATAATACCAAGACCAGGTAGTATATCAGCTGAAGATTTGAAGTAAGATATCGAGGTAACTGCAAAGATATTCCACGCTCTCTTCAGAGTAATCTGAGAGGAAGAAAAAGCACTAACACACTGTAAGGAGAGATACTACACTAAAGTATCGAAGATCTTACTAAGAGTGGGAACGACAGGGGTTCACACTCCATTCAGTGTCATGCAATATTCTGAACAAATTATTTACGACTTGTGGCATGTGTGCCCTGCTAATGTATAACGTAATGATACCGCCAATTAGAGAACAGTGAATTATCGATCGGACCAATGACACATAAAACCCGTACGAGCAGTCTAGTCCTTATTGGTTCTACTTTTGCCTAGCCCAGCCAGTTAAATCCAGAACACCAGCGCCAGCCTCTGCGATATGAATCATTTATTTCAAGCATACTGGGTTTATATACCAATCAAACAGACCACAACGTACCATAAAATATGAAACAACAATTGTACAAGAATTAGCCAAATGTTGCTGTGAATGAGGGAGGTAGTATTTAATAGACAACGCATAATTCAAGAATGGTAAATCGGATAATAATAGTTCACAGTTTAAAATAAAGCGCATAATCAGAGGAACACGCATATGTATAGTTTGGTTATTTAACTATTATACGGCAAAAATACACGCATAGTATTGGTCCATAAATGGATCCCAAAAGTTACCATTCATTATGCTTATCGGGACATAACATTATTGCTGAACCAAATAAAAGATTCAGTGGGTACGGCTTTAAGATCAACAAGCTGGATTCCATTACGACTAATCATATACTGACCCAATCGCGACACTGCAGATCAATGTTAAACAACCAGTCGAATAGAACTCATAACCGCACATCAACTCCCTTGATTATGAGATAGCATTTGACAGTGAATAGGAAAACCTTATAGAATGTCCTTCGACACTATGATGTACCTGAAAAGATCGTCACCATGATACAAATATCTTACGAGTCATGGATGGAGGACAGATCACTGATACCTTGAGTGAGGATCGGTGTTATACAGGGTTCCCTACATTCACTCTCTCTTCCTTCTGGTTGCTGATCGGATTATGAAGACCCCACCACCTCAGGAAAAGCACGGAATACAGTGAGAACCTTGGAGACAACTGAATAATTTGAACTTTGAAGATGACTTAGCCTTTCTGTTCTATACACAATAACAAATGTACACAAAGACTGACAGTATATTAATCGCTTCCGCTGTGGAAACAGCAGTGACATCTATCAGTGATTTAAACCACAGGGTTACAAAGAACCAATGGATTTCTTCAAGGTTTATTGCACTGATGAATTCTCGTAAACTCATCCCATCAGGCTCTGAACACGATGAAGAGCGACAACAAATCAGATCTAGGTTAACCAAAAGTCTAAGGAACGATCGTGAGCAGTGGTGGGCAACGAAAGCAAAAGAGATGGAAAAGGCGGCGGCTATAGGGAACACAAGACAGCTTTACAGACTAATAAAAGAAACTGGAATTAATAAGTCAAGTGTAAGTCAGACTATTTCGGAAAAAGACGACACCCTCATCTGCTCCCAGTCCAGACGTTTAGAACGATAGGCAGAACGTTTCAGAGGACAGTTCAGCTGGCCTTCAGCTACTCTACAACGACCCTCCATTCCCAGACAGTGTGAATGGAACATTGAAGTAGGTCCCCCAACTCTAGCAGAAGTTCAGAAGGCTATAGTTAATCTGAAACGAGGAAGGGCAGCTGCTCCAGATGGATTGGCTCCAGAGGTCTTTAAGGATGGTGGTCCAATTTTAGCGACTAGGTTGACTAATATTTTAGCTAAGATCTGGGAGTTAGACGTTATTCCATCTGACTGGTCACAATCACTTATCGTCTCAATATATAAGAGAGGGTTAAAATCATCTTGTGACAACCATAGAGGGATTAGTTTAACTAATATAGTATCTACAATACTAGCCTCGATAATTATCAGACGCCTAACTAAGACTCGTGGACTGCAAACACGAGAGAATCAAGCTGGCTTCAGACCTGGTTGGTCGTGGCTGCATCGACCACATATTCACCATTCGTCAGGTTCTAGAACATAGGCATACTTATCAGCGGCCGACAATGGTGGTCTTTCTTGACTTAAAAGCAGCATTTGACTCGGTAGACCGCGAGATTCTGTGGCAGTGTCTGTCATTGAAATGCGTACCTCAGAAGTACATAAACCTTGTGAAGGCTCTTTACTCGAACGCTACCAGTCGAGTGAGAGCTTATGGCGAACTGTCATCTGCCTTTGCAACCTCAAGTGGTGTCCGTCAAGGCTCTCAACTTTCTCCATTTTTGTTTAACTTCATCATAGACCTATTGATGGAAATAACATTCTCGTCTACTGAATTCTCGGGTATTGATCTCCTACCAGGAGGTCCACTTATCGACTTGGAATACTCAGATGATATAGTCCTGTTTGGTGAAGACGCTGATAAAATGCAGAGTCTTTTGGTAGCACTAAGCAACAATGCCAGAATGTTTGGAATGCGCTTCTCTCCCTCTAAATGCAAGTTGTTGCTTCAGGACTGGTCTGCGTCAACATCTGAACTAAGGATAGGGAATGAAGTAGTCGCACGCGTTGACAACTTCACTTATCTTGGACGTCTCATCAGCCTCAATGGGTTGGTGTCTGACGAAATCTCAGCACAGATTCGAAAAGCTCGTTTGGTTTTTGCCAACTCACGTCACCTATGGCGAAGGCGAGATATCTGTCTATCAATAAAAGGACGAGTATACTGCACGGCAGTGAGTTTTGTTTTAATTTACGGCAGCGAAACATGGCCATTAAGAGTAGAAGACACTCGTAAGCTATTAGTATTTGACCACAGATACCTTAGAAATATTGCTGGCGTCTGCTGGGATCACCGGGTAAGTAATAGTGAAGTTGGACTCAGGGTATTAGGGAATGATGGTAAATCAGTTGATGAGGTTGTGAATCTTCATCGACTGAGATGGTTGGGCCACGTGTTACGTATGCCTGAACACCGATTACCACGACGTGCAATGCTAACCGGTGTTCGGGATGGTTGGAAGAAAGTTAGGGGCGGCCAAACCAAAACGTGGCATCAGTGCTTGAAGTCACTAACTTCTAGTCTGAGCCATGTTGGTAGATGCAGACTACTTGGTTGGGGTCCGCGTGACTATCGTAACCAATGGTTGGAGACTCTTGGTGACATAGCTAAGAATCGATCACAATGGCGTCGGTGTATACACTCTCTGTCTTCCCTTAAACTAAGAGATTAAAATCGCTTCATATCTTTCTTTCTACGAACTAATTCTTTCTTCCTGTACTATATCCTTATTGCAATCTTTCTTTTATATATTACCACCTCTGAATTAACTACTTTTATGAATCCGGTGTCCATCTTGTTGTGTTAATGGGGTATGGCAACTCGGACCGATGCATATATGTGCCTGGTCCTACGTTGTAGCTGACTGAGTGACTGACTAAATAACTAACTACATGAGTCCGGATTGTTATCATTTATGCTACTTTCTTGAAACCACTGCAATCATCACGCAACTGTTCATTCGACACAACAAGTCATGATTTGCTATCAAAACTTTAAGGATAATTTTGTTGCCGAATCGCGAACTAGTTGAAGCTAGACAACCTATATAAACCAAGAAGATCTAGACAACTATTTCGTCGAAGTGCTGGAATACTTAGTCATGTAGATTCACAGCCTTGCCAGGTATTGAAACCAGGGACTTCAAGTGTCAAAGGGAGAGCTGAAGCTTAAGACTATTGAGTTGGTATCGACTTGTTTAGGTTTTAAATCCACTCGATTCACTATATTATTTCTGATTTTAAGGCTTAATATACATTTACTGTATCAATATTCAAGATACACAGAAAATTTTGAAAGGAATATGTGAGCAGATCTTATTAATTTAAAACTGATATAATAAGAAACGTGGAGAAATTTTTTTCAAGGAAAACTTTGACAAAGTACTATAGTCATGATTATAACAATAAAATAATTGTTCAATCGTAAAAAACCTATCTATATTTTCTTATTGTTTTCTAGTTTATTTTTGACCAAATTTAATAAGTAATCACTTGGTAAATTATTTGGTTTCTCTAGTAAAAGTTCACGCGTCAAATGAGCAACTGTCGAACTAATCATATTAATTGATAAATTCTTATTTAGTTCAACTTCTTTTATGACGTGATCCAGCATTGCGATAAGACGTGGACATAATTCACTGGCGATTGATACAGCTGGAGAGTCCTGTATACACACATTCACATACGCATGAACGTGTAGAAAAAATGAGAGATGATGAGAGAAGACAATTAAGACGAAGCAAATAAAAAAAACATTTGACATAAATTTATGGTTTTATCTTAATCGTTTGATAATGATACATTATTTGTGTAAAGGAGTGTGAAGAGACAGATAAATTTTGTAGTTCACATCACATACTAACTTCATCTAGACAACTATTGAAAACCAGACGGCATTGGACAAATGTTCCAATCGTCTGAGATTCCTCATGGGTGTACGTCCGTAACCTTCTAAGTCTAAAAGCTAAGCGTTCGCCACGAGATATAAAAGTCATGCCTGCGATCCATAGTGGGATTGTGAATGAGTACTGATGAGAATTTCTATGGTAAGACGAAACATCTGTCCGATTCTGCTTCCTGATTTTCAATGATCATCTAACCAAGGTAATTTCATGATGTAAACGACGTAATGATAAACACATGTTTAATTCCGTTTGATACATACGTTAGAAAAAAATCGTTTTAAAGACAGTAATTCTTTACAGCTTAAACATTCGACTGCAGAATTTTTGTGTTTACATAACTAAAATACTTTTCATCATTAATTGAGTTAACTATGCGTAACATTTTATTGAATGGATAAGCATATAAGCTTTAATTTACGCTGGTTGATCGCTAAGTATTGACGGATGTCGCTCCCGTTTAGTACACAGTAGTAATCATTCCAAAAGTATGTGGACACCAGCCTAAGGTTGTTAATATTACGTACAATAGGTAGTGTTATTGGCCGCTAGGGAGTTTGAAGCAATTAGTAGGAAGTCTTGAGTCCAAGTTTTGTGCTAAATAAGACGTTGACTATGCAAATGAGTAGCACAAGTTTGAACTCAAAAAACAGCAACAATCCTCTTAAGATCGCAAGCATAATTTCCTGACAAGTATCAATAAGAACAAAATCAAGGTCTAGATGTCCTCACCAATCGTCTCTCTAATCACTTGGCAAGGTTTGATATACTATGCAGCTGAAAAGTCATGAGAAATAATGACGATATTTTCTGACATGATTTGTCACATACAGGTGAACACTGAATATTTGCATAATAACATAATTTTAATTGTGAAATAAAAAACCATAGATTCATGTATGTAATATGGATGGATTACTAAATCTGATCAGGTATCCCGCATCATCTGGAACAATAGAGTTGAAGAATGTTAAAACACAGCTAGATAACAACACAATATCAGTATGCTGGGTTAAAAAAAAACACGGTTGATCAAAGCATATAACTGATCTAGGTACTTAGATGATTAGGTTTAAAGTATAAAAAAACCCAGTAAAACGATATTTAGGGTGACTATATTCAATTCAGCGAGTGAATCGCATGGAAAGTATTGAAAAACGTTTACTAGGTGATAATTGTTTTTATTCATCAGTACAACTGAGATAATGAAAGGACGAAACTACTTGTTAATATAGACACATCACATTTAAAATTTTCATGGTAGCTGTTTAAAAAGTTTTCTAAAGTATGAAAAAGAAATGAACAGACTAAAATCTTCATTTAGTACTAACATTTTACAAAACGTTTTAGAAAGAAAAAAGAAAATCAACTGCTTACATGAACAAAGTCTAGTTCATCTTCATATATGGTAGAGCATTTTTTATCTAATTTCAACCAAATTGATTCAAGCTCTTCATCTTTAGATGCTTGGTGTTCAGCTTGTTTAATTACTTCCATAGGTAGGCCTGCAAGACGAGCAACGTCTAGACCATAACTACGACTGCATACACCTAAATTAATAACACGAAGAAGTATGGTGGATTAGCGATAATGTAAGTACAAAATGTACGCTTGAGAGACAGATAATTACTAGATTGACAATTTAAAATGATTGGAATTCTTTCTAGTACCCTAGTTGCTGTCAGTCCATCCTTTAACCATTAGCTTCGGGTTTCTCCATCGTGTTGGCCAAGACTTCACGTAAATCCCAAGTGACATTGCTGACAAGTACCAACGGTGAAGGAATATTAATCGTGAGTTTACTTTACTTCAGTATGAAGGATAGTGTCGTGTCGTCATTCAATCCTGTTTCTTAATTTTTAGCACTCATCACATTACTATGTTTGCAGTGAGAGAAAACTTTCCCCTCTAAAAGTTTGTGCTATGGTGCATAACATTTTGCACATTAATATCCACAGAAAATCAGCAAAACATCATATATATTTGTAATAAGGCAAAAAGATAAATTTTATCGAAACAACATACTTCAAAAATTTAGAAAACGAAACAGTTAAAAGTATAAGTCGGTGTTAAAATCAAATATTTTTCAAACCATAGCACTAATCTAATTAAAGTAATTGAATGATCGAAAATCGAGTAAGTTAACAACAACCATTATCGAAGAACTGACAGTGACATAACAAAATGTACCGTAAACTGACCAATTGACATTTAAGGTTTATGTAAAAAAATGGACATTCACATGTCACAAATATATGATCATGTTTCCATGATGAGAAAATCTGATGAACAAACAAGACAATGGAAATAGATAATCTAGAAAGGAATTATTTTAACCATTCACAGATTTTTTTTATAGTCAAACCAAACGATAGGAAAATACACTAAAACATTTTAAGTTATTAATCTGAAATTATTATCCAATTACTCAATCAATTTTACGATTACATACCTGGCTCAACTTTATACAACATGGTAACTTTTGTCTCAGACTCTTCATCTTCAACGATTCCCTTAGTGTTTGATACATTGCATAAAACTCGTAGATTAGCTACACGCTTGGGCATATAATTTGCTAAACTGGTTAATTCATGAAAATGTGTGGCAAATAAACCGAAACAACCAACTTCAGGACTAGCTAAAAATGAAGCGACTGCCCATGCTAGTCCAAATCCATCATACGTTGATGTGCCACGTCCTAATTCATCAATAATGACAAGTGAATTTGGCGTGACCGACTAATGTTATGAGTTTTAAAAAAAATGCAATAAAAAATTATTTTATGACACCAGAAAATAATATAAACATTAATATTATTGAATATATTTCAATTGTATGAATATGTATAGAATGGAAAAAAGTGAATAATTCACAAGTCAGTCAGTTAGTCATTATAAACGTAGAGACTGGCGCAAAGATACATTACTATATCATATTACCACAAAACCACAAAACGTGACGTTAACACATGTCCAACATTGTAAAAAAAATAACAATTCAACAGCAAATATAAGTGTTTATTACTGTTTGTTAAGGACTAACACTCAAATCACAGTCAGTCAGTCAGTAACAACGTAGAACTTCGTACGTACGTACGTACATCAGTTCGAGTTGCCACACCACATTAGCACAGAGATACAGTTGTCGATTCAAATCCCGTAGTGGTAGAGGTAATAAGAGTATAAGCAGTAATCGGGAAGATTAGGGTTTGGAGATGTTATTTAAAGAGTATAATCCAGTGAAAGAAATTTGGAAAGAGGAAAAAAGGGACATGAAGAATTCAGAAGATTAGAATTTGGGAGAACACAGAGAGTGGATGCACCTGCGCCATTGCAAACGATTTTGAGCCATGTCATTCAGGGTCTCTAACCCTCGGTCGCTATCATCTCGCGGTCCCCAACCAGGTAGTCTACACCTACCAACATGGTTCAGTCCACTTGTCAGTGACTTCATGGATTTGTGCCATGTTTTGGTTTGGCCGCCCCTAGCTTTCTTCCAACCTACTCCTATACCACTGAACATAGCACGTCGAGGCAGTCGGTCGTTTGGCATACGTAACACGTGTCCCAGCCATCTCAACTGATGAAGTTTCACTACTTCATCAATTGATTTGCCATCCTTAACTAGTACCCGTTTCCTAACAACTGTGTTACTTACTCGATGGTCCCATGATATACGAGCAATGTTTCGAAGACACCTATGATCAAATACTAGTAGCCTACGGATATCCTCTACTCTTACCGGCCATGTTTCACTGCCATAAAGTAGGACGGAACGAACTGCTGCGCAGTAAACACGTCCTTTGGTTGATAGACGGATATCTCGCTTACGCCATAAATGACGCAAGTTGGTAAAAGCTAGTCGAGCCTTCTGTATCCGTGCTGAGATTTCGTCACACACTAAACCACTAGGGCTGATGAGACTTCCAAGATAAGTGAAGCGGTCGACACACTCAACTACTTCACTCCCTATTACTAGTTCGGGTATCGATGTAACCCAATCCTGAAGCAACATTTTGCATTTCGAGGGAGAGAATCGCATCCCGAACATGCTTGCATTGTTGCTTAGAGTGGTCAGAAGACTCTGCATTTTGTCAGCGTCTTCACCAAATAAAACTATGTCATCTGCATATTCTAAGTCAACAAGTGAACCTCCCGGTACAAGTTCAACCCCTGGAAATTTAGATGAGGAGAGTGTTATCTCTAAAAGTACGTCAATGACAAAGTTGAACAAGAATGGGGAGAGTGGACAGCCCTGACGAACACCACTTGAAGTAATCAATTCTGATGACAGTTCGCCATAAGCTCTCACTCGACCAGTTGTGTTCGAGTAGAGAGCCTTTATAAGGTTAATGTACTTCTTTGGGACTCCTTTCACTGACAAACACTGCCATAGAACCTCACGATCAACAGAGTCGAATGCCGCCTTAAGGTTGAGAAATACTACCATTGTGGGGCGTCTGAATGTGTGTCTATGTTCTAGGACCTGACGTAGTGTGAATATCTGGTCTATACAACCACGTCCAGGTCGAAAACCGGCCTGGTTTTCTCTAGTCTGCTCTTCACGAGCTTTAGTAAGGCGTCGAAGTATTATTGAAGCTAATATTTTAGACACTATATTAGTCAAACTGATTCCTCTGTGATTGTCCACAAGAGGACTTTTGTCCTTTCTTATAGACTGGCACAATCAGTGATTGAGACCAGTCAGATGGGATTACGTCCAGTTCCCAAATTCTACCTAAGACCTCGGTTAATCTCATTGCTAATACTGGACCACCATCCTTAAAAATCTCAGGAGTAAACCTGTCAGGGCCTGCTGCTCTCCCTCGTTTCAGATTTCCTATGGCTTTTTCAACTTCGTAAAGGGACGGAGGACCTACATTAACTTGCCATTCAGGTTGACTAGAGATCGTGGGAAACCGAAGTAATCACAGTACCATGTAACAGCCTCACGTGACACAAATACACAGTTTGAGAAGAAAGAAACAATTTTATACAAAGAAACTGAACATGGTATTTTTCATAAAACTTATCAAATGAAAGAATTTCTAACAAATGTCACAAATATCTTCAGTTTTACATCACGAACTGATTTCATTTATACCACCACGGCAGAGAAATGACATTTGGACGTGGTATGAGACTCCTCAGTAGTGCGAATTCACGGTCCCGCATCGAGGAGTCGAACCCAGGATCTCCAACTGACCATGTCGGGTGCAAGACAGTTGTCGAAGGGAGACAATAGATGAGGGCTGTTTAATATCTCCAACTGACTGAAGTTAGCTATTAACACTATTGGATGCCGACCCAGTGGTCTAGGGAGTTAGGCGTTTCTGCACGAGACCGAAGGTGCTTACAGGTCCATCTAGCTAAAGTCAGTTCGTGATGTAGATCTATGAAAATTCTACAATCTCCCTATTTTCTTTCCATAGTGTTTGTAGGAAATGAATTGTGTCACATTATTCTCCTGCTAATGATAATATGTAGTATGTAGCCAGTGAAAAGCAGCTCATTTGTCCATGAAAACAGTTCAGTCAGCTATTACATGTGTATACCACGTGCTACTCATTTCATTTACTAATTTATCTATGAATTATTTATTATAACTTGGAAAATATATTGACATTGCTAGCTAATTCAACAAGTGTCTTTCTTTTGTCTTAAATGTCAGTTTTCATTAAAAATGTTAGTAATAAGTGTTAGTTAGGAAAAATTACATTCAGTGTAGGTTGTTAGTTACAGACAAGAATTGAGTGTGATAGGGTAGTAGTTGGTGATAAGAAGATGACTTATCGTATATTAAATAATTTTACTTTGTTGTTGTGTTTGCACGTAGTCGGCAGTAAGTTTTTAATAATAATAATAATAATAATAATAATAATAATAATAATAATAATAATAATAATAATAATAATAATAATAATAATAATATGCGATTTTTATTCGTTGTGATTCGACAATTACACAGAAAACATTAAAATTCCTCCGTCCGATTAACATCCCTTCTCAGTGAAAAATACGATGACAATCCAAATAATTAATTAATTGATGTATAGACAATAAAAAAATGTAAGTTTAGTGAAAAACGAAATCTACCATTGATGGTATCATCACCAAGGTTTGACTTGATAATTTCGAAAAACTTGAGCATTGGGTAGATTGTCATGAAAAATTAATATATTTGCAATATCCTAACGAATAGAAAAATTAGATTTTCCGACGTTTCGTGACTCAGTGTAAGCCACTTCTTCAGGGAATAAATAACCAAATCCAATTTAATCCAAGTTTGTATAATACAAAGGAACAACGCAAGAATATTATACGCGACCAATCAAAAAACAGGTCTGAACAAGTCAATGTCATGTCATTTCAGTCAAGGTGATTTAAAAGCGACATTTATGTAAATTTGTGCGTGTGTGTACGTATGCAAGGTCAGGGATGAAAAATTGTGACCTTTGTGGTGCGAGAGGATGGAGCTTAGTTTGTATGTACGATAATAGTGTGAAATGTGAGTAATATCAGACATGGTAGCTGGAATAGATAGTCCAAGTAGGATGTATAGTGAGATCTTCCTCCTTTCTTTGTAGTTGGAAAAACCTTTTTGTAATATTTTGATGTTTTTGAAATCGATTTGATTGTTGTTGAAAATGGTGTGAACAGCTATTGCCGATGTAACTTGAAGTTTATCCAGATCGACGGGATTACTATGTGGTTTCTTTTTGTACATAATATATTCTTTGGTTTGAGTCAAGATCTCGCACATGATATTCTTGTGTTGTTCCTTTGTATTATTTAAACATGGATTAATTTTGATTTGGTTATTTATTCTCTGAAGAAGTGGCTTACACTGAGTCACAAAATCTAATTTTTCTACTCATTGGAATATTACAAATATATTAACTAAGTCATTGTCATTTATTTACATTAATCGAAATTTGCAAGGACTGAATTATTACAGTACATTAAACACATGTGAGATGATGAAGTGGTGTCCGCAACGGCTGCTATTTTTATAATTCTGTTATATCAGAACCAGGATTGAAGGAATGGTAACTCATAGAAAAAATTTATAAACTGTTATTACTACATGTAGTCTTATTACATAAGTGTTACGTAACTAGGTTACCATGTCTATATATTCCATTTATTATAAAATTCCGATTAACCCATAGAATATTATCACATGATTTATTGTTAATATTTCTATTATCTATTATTCATAGTCTTCCCTAATCATAGCTACAATTGGCTTATTCATATATAATTGTCACTTTTCATTTTATAGCGTGGTATGTCTATATATAATCTACATCTGTTCGAAACATATGGTGGAGGCTTGTCGATAACTTGAACTGAAGGGCACGACATATAGAGGAGCTAGCGAATAGTGAACTAATAGGAACTTAGCTATTGACTCAAGGTTAATAGTGTTGATCGGATGTGTAATTGGCCAAGCCAGAGACAAGTTATCGAGTAAGTAGTTGACGCAAAACGGACCAAATTAGAATCAGGGTTCTGAATAGTAATTTGTCACGTGATTTTGGTCAGAGGTGTTCAAGATATAATATATTCCTTCAGTTAAAAATCGAAGATAACAACAAATAGAGTTAGCGAACATAAACACTCAAAAACAAAGGCGCTAGAGCGAATTGATTTAACGCTTTTGCAACAACTAACTGATAGTGTTATCGAGGAAAATAATTGAAAATCCACAATTAAATTATTTAGTTTGAAGAACTCAACAACACTAGAAGGATCCACCTGATTTGAACATTATCTCTCTATCATCTATAATTATTGAACTGAACAACTGAGAGGTTGGATATCGATGAACTGTATTTTTAAAGCGTTGATATGTGCATACATAGTATATGTAAAAATAAATATACTAACTCGTAAAACAGCTGAAGTTTCAAGCATTTCTGCTAAAAATGTAGAAACACCACGACATTGATAATCAGCCGCACCAACACGTGCCATGATAGCATCGACTGGCATAATTTCTGCGTATGAACACGGAACAAAGCTGCCAATTTGGGCCATAGCAACAATAACGGCAACCTGAAAATTAATTGACATTCAGCGAGGGGCAAGTAGGTAGGTTATTGAGAATTATCATTATTATTGTTTTGTTTGTATTACTTTACATTGCAGATTGATCACAGTCAAACAATCATTGAAAACTAAAAGACACTGAATATCCGTCTCACACTAGTACGGGACTCCGGTTGTGTATATATGATGAGACTATTATTATACGATTTACTATTCTTGAGTTATACCCAGTCTATTCCACATTCACAGCTAAATCTTGTACAAATGTTGTTTCCTACTTTATGGTACGATATTGCCTGTCTCGTTTGTATATAAACCGAGTATGTTTGAAATACACGATTCATATAGCGGAGGCTGAGATTGGTGTTCTGGACTTAACAGGCAGGGCTAGGCAGGAAGCAGGACCAATAAGGACTTTAGACTACTCGTACGGGTTTTATGTCTCGTTGGTCTGGTCGATAAATCATTGGCGGTATCATTACATTATACATTAATAGGACACAGGGCACAAGTTATAACAAGGGCACCGGTTCTAAAGAAAGACAAGAATTCATCTATATCATTGCGATCGATTTTGAGCAATATCATCCAAAGTCTCAAACAATTGGTCGCACAGGCCATAACATAGGCAGTCTACATTTATTAAAATGGCTGTCCAATTGTCAATGATTTCACAGATTGAAAGTCATAACCACTTTAGTCGATAAAGATTCACTACCTCATCAACCGACTTGCCAACCAACAGAGCGTAACGCTGCATTACGGCCAAGGAACACAACTATAGCCAGACGTCGGTAGTTATATCTATGATCTAGAACCTGACAAAGAGCAAATGTTTGGTTTATACAACAACATATAGGTCTAAAACCAGTCGAGTTGTGCTTTTCACGAGCCCTAGTAAGTAATCGGATTATTAATGGAGCTAATATTTTAGATGGTATATTAGTCAAATAATTCCTTTGTGACAGTCACAAGAGGACTTTTGTCCTTTCTTATAAGCTGTGACAATTAGTGTTCGAGAGAAGTTTACACAATGAACCATAATATAATTACCATTAAACTCCCAGTTAAAAATACTGTAGGGTTTAAAAAAGCAAAATGACATGATACACTCCAACAGACATAAGTAAACATAACAAGAAAAATTAAGTTAATATCAAATGACATGACGAGTCCAATCTTCACTGTACCAGATGGACTATCAAGTTATCTACAAATAAACATATATATACACATACTATGAGCTCCCGTAAGTTTTGATAACGATAATGATGAGCATGTCATGTGTTCTCGTCAGTCTCTCTCTCGAGGACACATATACACACAAGCTTTATTCTACCATAGAATGGAAAATACGAAATTGTTATTTGGTCTTTTCTTTTTATAACTTACACTATGTATAAAAGTTGACTTGCCACCCATATTCGGACCAGTAATAATTAGGAATATTTGTTTACCTATAAAATTTCAATGAATAAATTGGAGAAAACAACAATTGTGTGCGTTATGAGGTGGAAAGTATTTGCTAGAATTGAAAGAAAGGTCGAAAACAAATCACATTTGGTCAATATATGTACATATACTATATATAAGGGAAAAAATAGAATTTAAATGTAAGAACGTTCGGCTAATTATTAAAATGGTTGATCTGTAATAAAAAATTCAGAATATGTAGAAACAAAAACTTATTCGAAACGCAATTTACCACGTTCAAGATGTACATCATTTGGAATAACACTGACTCGATCTTGCATTTCCAAACATGGATGACGTGCTCCTTTTAAAATAATATGACCATAATCTTTAGAGAGAATTTTCGGACGAATATACGATACGCCTGAAGACGAGATAGCTGCGATAGAAAGGCTAACAATAACATCTAAAAACGCAGTGGTTGAATTCAATTGATTAATAGGCTCTAAATAAGTAGCTATATACATTTAATAAAAAAGAAAATAACACATACATTAGATGAAATATGTACGGCGAAGCTGATAATTTGAATATAATAATGAAATTATTACAATGATAAAGAATTTCTATAATTTGGGAGATGTAGTGTTCATTGAACAGGGATGATCTAATCATAGTATTTTTTATTGTCTTTTCAGGCAAAATTGTAATCAACACAAATTTGCAAAAGAATAAAACCTTTAGAATATGTGCTCAATATGATACAACTCAATAATAATTAGTTATTAGGTTAAAAAAGCCCAGCTCAACCCAATACACATTATGTAAATAGAAAGGAACTATTTAATTGTAAACTCTCAAAGTAAGAAATGGTTCAGAACTTAACAATCTCAAGTATTCAAGTCCAGAGTTATTTGTTTTCTGTTGTGAACGTAGTTATTTGGTTTCCTGGTTGAATTTTAATGCCGAAAGTAGAAGACGGTGTTTTTTGTACAAACATGTTTCAATAGAAATATCTATTTTGATAGTTTGTCTCGACCAACTGTTGTTTTCATGCCGTTGTGCTCATTTTAAAACGGTTTTGTTTTCAAAATTCGATGGTTTAGTGATAAAGTCCTCATGATCTTTATAGAGAACAACATAATTCAGAAGTCAGATATTAGAATTTCTCAACAACTGACAAACAACTTAATCTGTTTACCTGGAATTCAATTGGTTGCTGCACATTATTGTGTGATCTCTATTTACAGGTTTCATTTAATTTTTTCCCTTGAGTGACTGCCTTGACGTCGGATAATGGTTGATGTAGAAGTAGGATGGAAGAAAGCTGGTATGGCCAAATCAAGACGTGACGTCAGTCCGTGAAGACAATTACTACTCGACTGAGCTATTCAGGCACATACGCACTATCTGGTTGGAATCCACTTGATTATACTAACCAATGTTTACAGATTTTGAATGGCATACCTAGAAATAGTTCACAATGGCGCAGCGTATTCACTCTTTAAAAATTCCTCTTTATATATTTAAATAGTTTATAATTTTTTCTCAAATTGTAACTGCGTGTTTAATCTTTGATATTACCATTATTACTTTTACTACTTCTGCTACTCTGTGATATATCCTGAGAATTTCATTTCGTTCTGTTAGTGAGGAGTGGGAAGTAGAATCGATGTAAATATATGCCACATTTTACGTTGAGTTCGACTGACTGACAGAACTCGTAGCTATAAATCGGGACAGCTTATTTGTTTTTACGGCATGTATCGATGACATTGTGTAGAAAAAAAAATTCCCGATTAGATCAACCAGCTCGGACAACAAAACACCTCTAAAAACTATTATCTAATCAATATGTGACAAAACTTTCGAAAGAATAAAATCAAACTGAATAGCTATGAAGCAACAGAAATAATTCAATAAATTACTTCATGAATTATTATGACTTAACGTAGAATCAAAGTGTAGGAAATAATATTTATTATTACTATGAACTGATATATTAACAGAGTTAACGGCCTCAAATGATTTATTTATTCGAGATAACATTGGGTATGAGAATAATCTAAAAAATGATGTAATGCTGGAAAGAAGTAGAAAAGTTAGAAGGGTAACGAAAATTTTGTCCAATCTACAATTTTTAATCCGTGATGATAATACTATGTGTAATTATTTTAAGTGCAGAATGGAGTGGTGTGATATTGAAATCAACAAATATATATATATATATATATATATATATATATATATATATTACTAATAGCGATGTATTGGAACAAAGATTGAAGAAATGTTTAGTTCCAGAACTAATTTCTGAATTATTACTAATATTCTTATTGTATAATTAACGAATAGCTGGATTACTATATTCATATACTGAGTTTATCTTTAGCTCCTATTTACCCGTTAACTATTACCATACTAATTATTAACCTTCAGTTATTCACAATAAATTGTGTGCGGCTTTCCCCACTAACAGACATTTTGGGTGATGTGATGTGGTCAGGTATGTTTGTAAATAAACTCAGCAGTGCTTAAAATATAATGTGAGAGAGGCTGACTTTTGACTTCGTTTTGGACTCAAGGCAAAAAATAGAGACAACCTTACGGATAGCGAACCATTAGGGGTTAACCTTAAATGGGTTCAAGGCTAACTGTGCGGATCAGAAATGTAACTGTCCAAGTCTATGAATTTAAGCTATATATGAAATATTAGGGACTAGATAAAGAGAAAAATATTCGGAGTTTCCAATAGTGAATTCAACAGGTGATATTTAAGAAAGTCTTAAGACACATGACAAGTAGTCGTAAAAAAGTAGTTACCTGCGGCACAAACAACTTGATGTACAACCACTTCTTGTAATCCATTATATTCTTGTTTCACTTCAGCATAAGTTTCATTTAATAAAGTCATTTGGTTATTACGAAAACGTACACCACCTTTTTGTGTGTCCAAAATTTCAAATGTTTCAAATCCTCTTAAACATTTCTCATCCTTTTATTGTCATGATTATTTGTTGTTACAGTTGGAGAAAGAAAAAGAAAACAGAAAATACAAAGGAGTGAACAAAAATGAAAATGGATAAACATTAATGAGACATGACATTCTGCACGAATCAATACATAATCTTTAAAAAAAACACATAGTTCTTTCAGGGTAAATATCAGGATATTTCTTTACGGGTTGTGGGAATTGGAGTTGAGTGGATGACAAAATGTATTATATATGAGTTATTCAAATCAGAGTACCGACAACAGAATCTTATGTAATAAACGACACATAGATGTAGAATACACAATAAACCTATGGTGAATTTCAATAATCTGTTTTTCAGCTGAAGAGATTTAGTGAAGATCCTTTTCCGTTTGTCATAGATTGATCACAGTTGAGGTGACTTGAGATGTCTTATGAGTGTCATCCTTCTCACCTTCATATTATATAATAATTCCTGACGCTAAAATAAAGTAGAAAAGACATATTTTAACAAGCTTTAGTATAAAATATAGCTGTATAAGACAGGCAAATATTGGTCCATCCTCGCTTCCTGGTTGACATCCTAGGGAAAGTGCACACAACTCAGTGGCTTCAAATGTTATTAGACATGGTTCAGAAAAGATCATCATATTTGTACCAATCCTGATGTAATTTTTTTACATTCACAATTGATTAATCACTGGGTGGTGATCAATGTCATCTTGTCTAGTCCTTATTAGTGCAGATCGAATGCTATCGATCATGTTGCAATGTGGCCACCAGTCTAGGTGACTCGACACTGCGGGCACTATGTATTGAGATTTAGATGGTGGTTGGAGGTAGTCAGCAGAAAACCCTGGACCCGGGTTTCGTGCTACTTGGCACTCGTCAGCAAGGTGTACCTGTAATCTTGCGGGAACTGGTGCTCCCTGGCGGATTCGATCTCGTGTCAACCAGCTTCACAGTCAGAGACGTTACCACTGAGCTATCCGAGCCGCGACTGACCTCCTGTAGGACTGAGATGTAATCATAATTGATCGATCACTGGGTGGTGATCAATGTCATGCTTGTCTAGTCCTTATTAGTGCAGGACCAATATCCATTATCATACAATTGATTTACCCACTCTCCTCCCTCCCTTTTTTGTGGCGTATATGTATTTCAGTGTCTAGTTGTACCAGTATTTACGCATTTTAAATAAGTTAAGGATGGTGAAGAGGACAGATTACACTTATAATTCATTTCACTATTTAAATAAGGGCATTTCAATAATGGAGAAAATTAAATCGAAAGACAAAGCATTTCAACAATTTGATGAATACTGTCATAATTCAGCTGTGTTATGCCATAGTAAGAGTTGCAGTCATCATTAGGCAAAAAGGATAAAATCATTTTATATTACTTTCGATATTAAAAAAAAACTTATTTAAACGAAAAGCTTAACGATTATAATGAAATGAATCTAAACACTTGTTGAAAGTCCGTCAAAAATAGGAGAATGTATACAAAATTTACTGCATATAATCAATGAATAACCACAAATCTATGCACTAGTCTCGAGATATAAAATTCAATTGTCTAAATTTAAGCGAGAGGAGTAACGGTACAAAACGTTTAGACATGATAATTGAAAACTAACTATTCACATAGGAAACAAAACAATATGAAAATGCGTGTGTGCGGCGAAAGGCGAACTGCACGAACACTACTTCGAATATGTATGCACTGATTTACCTTGAGTGTGACACGCATAAAATATCCATGTAGCTCATTGCTTTCCAACTTGATAGATTTATTCTGTTCCAAGTTCAGCTTTTTTGCACACTGTAAAGGAAATTGTTAAATATACTTATCAGAAGGGGTTTTGTGGTGACAATAATGAGACAAATAGTAACTGATTTACATACAACTGGTGAAAATCATGAAATAGAGATATTAAATCAATTGCAAATGTGGAAAAAAGACAAGGATATATCTCCTGTAAGTAGTTTCTGTTTGGTTTAAGTATGGCTTATATTTGCAACAATCAATCGGACATTCAGATTTCTTCAAGGTTTCTGATTTTTATAATTATTGTTGCACTGTTTGCGATTGAAAATGAGTGAAAGTACATAACATTCTTTATAACTGACTGATCATTAAGTAGTGACCGATGTAACGTGCACTAGGCTGATATATGGTGTTGAATAAAGGTAGTTGACAGGAACTCTAGACTTCATCGTTAGAATCAGATCAACACTAAGGAATTGATATACATCTTGATGGTCACTGCTTAGTGATAAACTGATTGTAAATCTACCTTCGTCCTACAGAAAGTCAGTCGCAGCCAGAATTACTCAGTGGTAACGTTTGTGATTTTAATGCTGAATGACGCCTTGTCCAGTCCGTTACGAGGCACCAGTTCTCTCAAGATTACAGGTACAACTGTCAAATAGCACTATTTGTCGGGCAATGGAGGTGGTTACATCGTTACATTAAATTACGCATGCTTCAGTGGGTGGTCTGCCTAACCAGCGCGCCCCAAGGACCTCCTTTGTTATTTTGTCATTGCCCCAAAATACCCTGGTACAGCTTAGGGTAGAGAAACGTAACTCAAAGGCATATATCAGTCAGTCAGCTACAACGTAGGACCAGGCACATATATGAATCGGTCCGAGTTGCCATACCCCATTAACACAACAAGATGGACACCGGATTCATAAAAGTAGTTAATTCAGAGGTGGTAATATATAAAAGAAAGATTGCAATAAGGATATAGTACAGGAAGAAAGAATTAGTTCGTAGAAAGAAAGGTATGAAGCGATTTTAATCTCTTAGTTTAAGGGAAGACAGAGAGTGTATACACCGACGCCATTGTGATCGATTCTTAGCTATGTCACCAAGAGTCTCCAACCATTGGTTACGATAGTCACGCGGACCCCAACCAAGTAGTCTGCATCTACCAACATGGCTCAGACTAGAAGTTAGTGACTTCAAGCACTGATGCCACGTTTTGGTTTGGCCGCCCCTAACTTTCTTCCAACCATCCCGAACACCGGTTAGCATTGCACGTCGTGGTAATCGGTGTTCAGGCATACGTAACACGTGGCCCAACCATCTCAGTCGATGAAGATTCACAACCTCATCAACTGATTTACCATCATTCCCTAATACCCTGAGTCCAACTTCACTATTACTTACCCGGTGATCCCAGCAGACGCCAGCAATATTTCTAAGGTATCTGTGGTCAAATACTAATAGCTTACGAGTGTCTTCTACTCTTAATGGCCATGTTTCGCTGCCGTAAATTAAAACAAAACTCACTGCCGTGCAGTATACTCGTCCTTTTATTGATAGACAGATATCTCGCCTTCGCCATAGGTGACGTGAGTTGGCAAAAACCAAACGAGCTTTTCGAATCTGTGCTGAGATTTCGTCAGACACCAACCCATTGAGGCTGATGAGACGTCCAAGATAAGTGAAGTTGTCAACGCGTGCGACTACTTCATTCCCTATCCTTAGTTCAGATGTTGACGCAGACCAGTCCTGAAGCAACAACTTGCATTTAGAGGGAGAGAAGCGCATTCCAAACATTCTGGCATTGTTGCTTAGTGCTACCAAAAGACTCTGCATTTTATCAGCGTCTTCACCAAACAGGACTATATCATCTGAGTATTCCAAGTCGATAAGTGGACCTCCTGGTAGGAGATCAATACCCGAGAATTCAGTAGACGAGAATGTTATTTCCATCAATAGGTCTATGATGAAGTTAAACAAAAATGGAGAAAGTTGAGAGCCTTGACGGACACCACTTGAGGTTGCAAAGGCAGATGACAGTTCGCCATAAGCTCTCACTCGACTGGTAGCGTTCGAGTAAAGAGCCTTCACAAGGTTTATGTACTTCTGAGGTACGCATTTCAATGACAGACACTGCCACAGAATCTCGCGGTCTACCGAGTCAAATGCTGCTTTTAAGTCAAGAAAGACCACCATTGTCGGCCGCTGATAAGTATGCCTATGTTCTAGAACCTGACGAATGGTGAATATGTGGTCGATGCAGCCACGACCAACCAGGTCTGAAGCCAGCTTGATTCTCTCGTGTTTGCAGTCCACGAGTCTTAGTTAGGCGTCTGATAATTATCGAGGCTAGTATTGTAGATACTATATTAGTTAAACTAATCCCTCTATGGTTGTCACAAGATGATTTTAACCCTCTCTTATATATTGAGACGATAAGTGATTGTGACCAGTCAGATGGAATAACGTCTAACTCCCAGATCTTAGCTAAAATATTAGTCAACCTAGTCGCTAAAATTGGACCACCATCCTTAAAGACCTCTGGAGCCAATCCATCTGGAGCAGCTGCCCTTCCTCGTTTCAGATTAACTATAGCCTTCTGAACTTCTGCTAGAGTTGGGGGACCTACTTCAATGTTCCATTCACACTGTCTGGGAATGGAGGGTCGTTGTAGAGTAGCTGAAGGCCAGCTGAACTGTCCTCTGAAACGTTCTGCCTATCGTTCTAAACGTCTGGACTGGGAGCAGATGAGGGTGTCGTCTTTTTCCGAAATAGTCTGACTTACACTTGACTTATTAATTCCAGTTTCTTTTATTAGTCTGTAAAGCTGTCTTGTGTTCCCTATAGCCGCCGCCTTTTCCATCTCTTTTGCTTTCGTTGCCCACCACTGCTCACGATCGTTCCTTAGACTTTTGGTTAACCTAGATCTGATTTGTTGTCGCTCTTCATCGTGTTCAGAGCCTGATGGGATGAGTTTACGAGAATTCATCAGTGCAATAAACCTTGAAGAAATCCATTGGTTCTTTGTAACCCTGTGGTTTAAATCACTGATAGATGTCACTGCTGTTTCCACAGCGGAAGCGATTAATATACTGTCAGTCTTTGTGTACATTTGTTATTGTGTATAGAACAGAAAGGCTAAGTCATCTTCAAAGTTCAAATTATTCAGTTGTCTCCAAGGTTCTCACTGTATTCCGTGCTTTTCCTGAGGTGGTGGGGTCTTCATAATCCGATCAGCAACCAGAAGGAAGAGAGAGTGAATGTAGGGAACCCTGTATAACACCGATCCTCACTCAAGGTATCAGTGATCTGTCCTCCATCCATGACTCGTAAGATATTTGTATCATGGTGACGATCTTTTCAGGTACATCATAGTGTCGAAGGACATTCTATAAGGTTTTCCTATTCACTGTCAAATGCTATCTCATAATCAAGGGAGTTGATGTGCGGTTATGAGTTCTATTCGACTGGTTGTTTAACATTGATCTGCAGTGTCGCGATTGGGTCAGTATATGATTAGTCGTAATGGAATCCAGCTTGTTGATCTTAAAGCCGTACCCACTGAATCTTTTATTTGGTTCAGCAATAATGTTATGTCCCGATAAGCATAATGAATGGTAACTTTTGGGATCCATTTATGGACCAATACTATGCGTGTATTTTTGCCGTATAATAGTTAAATAACCAAACTATACATATGCGTGTCCCTCTTATTATGTTCCGCCCATCGTTCTAAACGTCTGGACTACTGAGCTATTCCAGCCGCGACTGACCACCCGTACGACTGAGATAGTAAACAGTGTCATGCTTGTTTAATATACATATTGTAAGTCGTCTAGACCAGTGGTACATTAGAACTTAGTCGCCACAACTGGGTAAGAAAATTTCTACCTTGGTCATTTAGTCAGTCAAACGCAACGTAAAAACTGGTACATGTTCAAGCTGCTATACCACATTAGCACAGCTAGTTGAGATTATTAGTGCAAATCCCAGAGTAGTGAAGATTGTAACAGTAATATGAAGTATTAGGGATTCAAGATACCATTCGGAAAAATAAAAACCTACTAACTACTACTACTACTACTAATAATAATAATAATAATAATACTTTAGTATTTTTTTATTGTCTTAATTTCTAGAACATACGGAAAGAGAAATAAACGAGAACATCGATAATATATATTGAAATAAGTTATTACAAGCAAAAGAATGAAATGAGAAGATTGAAAATAACAATATACTCTAAGCTGGATGGTGTGCTCATGGAGCTTCATTGTTCTTTCAAACAACATCACCAGTACAAACTTAGGGTAGACATGAAGTGTTGTTGTTGAACAATGAAAGATCCACGACCAAACCATCGAGCTCATAGAAAAAACTCCACCTAAATAATCCACCTGAGCTACAAATCTTCTCCATCTTAATCACAATATCCCCTCTAAAATGACTTAACGGAATAGAAAATAGCAAATTTCTGCTTTCTTATGATCGAAAATAGACTGCATTAGCTGTATTTCACTCAACACAGATTTCTAGCATGTTTTGGATGTTATCCATGACTTAAGAAAATCCTAAGCTGTATGTAAAGGAATTACATTCTTTTAGATGGTATCGATTAGAAAACAACATTTATGTATACGATGTGGTTCTAGAAAAATCAAAACAAAATATTGTAAAAAAAAGATGAAATCTAATCAGTTAGAACCTGGAATACATAGTGTACATTGGTTTAATTTACCATGCAGCATAAATAATCCTAGTCTGCTGAAATTATCAAGATTGATATGAATGTAGTCGAAGGAATGGAAATAGCATCGATGGTAGTAGAAAACGCTAACTACAGACAATGTAATTTGATAAGAATGGATGAATTTCAGCAGTAAAAATTACACAGTTTTATAACTCGACAGGTGACGGAAGAAAATGAGTAAATACATCTGCATTGATATAGTTGATTCTGAGTTACGTCATCCCTCGTCTACAACCATTAATTAAATTAACCAAACTGACACCAACTAGGTAGTTTGCATCTACCATACCAACATGACTCAGACGAATAATCAATGACTTCATGAACTGATGTAATATGTTGGTTTGGCTCCCTTGGTTTTCTTCCAACCTAGACCTAATACAACTAGATTTTTGTTCAACATTAATTCTGTTTTAATTCAATGTGATGATTACTCAGTATAGTATTTGTTTTGCTTTCCCGTATGACATTTTATTCTATATAACATACGATATCCTTGTATTAAGTTAACATGAACTAAACTCAGTATATTTGTTATAACTAAGTATTTATCATCGTGTTTTAATTTTGATATATATGATTTTATTCTAATTCTAATTATTAATCAAAATGGGTGTATAAACCAATGTATAAGTGAGTGCATTTCCAACTAGACTCGTTGTGGCTGTTCGTGCTTCTGGCTGCTAGTTGAATATATATCTCTCTTTCGAATCTGGACATCTCTCTCGAGTTAGTGGGGCTGAGACGCGAAGGAATCGGTAACTTACCTGTCATTGTATCACAGTCTTCGTTCCCTTCTCAAAATAGTTGAACTCGTGATCTCTTCAAACATAGTATAATACATGAATTCGTATACACACACCAACCAATTAAATTCCATATAGTTTTATCCTGTAGCCAATTTGATAACAGCATAAATATTGAATCGAATGATCTTATTCGCAGGGAACAGTGAGATGTTTAAACGAAACACATAGGTACAGTCAACAATCTTTCGTAGTCATTTAAAATAATATCGACTACCTAGTAAGAACCCGGATGAAAGACGCAGTAGACACCTAACTTCGAGATCAACAGGCTGGATTCCGTAAAGATCGGTCGTGCACAGACACTACGGATCATCGTAGAACAATCAGTTGAGTGGAACTCGTCACTGTTCATCAACTTCATTAGTTATGAAGAAGTGTTTGACAGTGTAGATAGGAGAACATTATGGAAACTTCTCTGACATTAAGGAGTTCCTGAGAAGATTGTCAACATGATTCGGAACTCATACGACGGACTTCAGTGCAACGTCGTGCATGGAGGACAGCTGACAGACGCATTCGAAGTAAGGACCGGAGTTAGACAAGGTTGTCTACTCTCTCCGTTCCTCTCTCTTCTGGTGGTCGACCGGATTATGAAGACCACGACATCTGAGGGAAAACACGGCATACAATGGACAACTCAGAACCAATTAGACGATTTGGACTTCGCAGATGACCTAGCTCTCCTATCCCATGCACACGGACAAATGCAGATAAAGACAGCCAGTGTAGCAGCAGTCTCTCCATCAGTAAGCCTCAACATACACAAGAGGAAAACCAAGGTCCTCGAATTCAAAACAGGGAACAGCAATCCAATCACTCTTGATGGCGAAACTCTGGAAGATGTAGAATCCTTCACATACCTGGGTAGCATCATCGATGAGCAAGGAGGATCAGATGCAGACGTAAAGGCGAGGATTGGCAAAGCAAGGGTCGCATTCCTATAGTTGAAGAACATACGAAACTCAAAACAACTGTCAATCAATATCAAAGTCAGGATCTTCAATACGAACGTCAAGGCAGTTCTACTGTACGGAGCTGAAACTTGGAGAACTACTACAACCATCATCAAGAAGGTACAAATATTTATAAATACTTGTCTACGAAAGATACTCAATGTCCATTGGCCGGATACCATCAGAAACAACCTACTTCTGTGGGAGAGAACAAACCAGCTTCCAGCTGAAGAGGAAATTCAGAAAAGACGATGGAAATGGATAGGACATATGTTACGCGAATCATCAAACTGCATCACGAGGCAAGCCCTGACTTGGAATCCTGAAATTAAGCGGAGAAAAGAGGAAGGCCAAAGAACGCATTACGTTGGGAAATGGAATCTGATATGGAAAGAATTGCTCAGGCCAGGGGTTGGATGAAGAATGCTGGTGAGCGGCCTATGCTCCTTCACGAGGAGTAACAGGTGTAAGTAGGTAAGTAACCTAGTAGGGACGGTATTTTAGATGTTAATAAGTAGAAAGAAAAACATGTTTACGACAGCTTAACAGCAACAAACTAATTATTATTAGTATGGGGATTTGGAGACATTAATAATAATAGCAATAATAATGATAATAGTAGTAGTACTAATGATAACAATAATAATAGTAGCAGTAATAATAGCGGTAATAATAATAGCAATAATAATAATAATAATAATAATAATAATAATAATAATAATAACGATAATAATGATGATGATAATAATGGTCATAATAATATTAATAATGATAATAGTAATAATGATAGTGGTATTAATAGCCGTAATAACAATAGTAATAATAATGATGGTAATAATAATAACGGTAAGAGCTTTAAATAAAACTTTACAGATTAAAAATAAGTCAAATATTAAACCACTTCATTTAATAGTGATTGTTAAGTCGACCGACCGATATATTATTCATGAAAATACCATTAAATTATCATCCTCTAATGGGACAAACACTGATTATATGAATAATGAATAAGCGATAATGGGTATCATAACTTAAACTAGTAGTCCCTGTATTGATTATTGCAGACTCACATAAAGAAATAGAGTGAATTTTGATCTTAGAAGAAATGACAGGAAATATCTTGTAGTCAACATTTCTCAGAAAAACATGAGTTATTAGGATGAAATCTCCCCCAAGATTATTGATTTTTAGCTCGATAAAAACGAGTCATAAGAAATAAATTTTATCGTAAATACTATGATTGAAAAAGTTGTTTTAAGTACACAATTCGGCCTACAATTCTACCTGATAACAAGAGCCTTAAAATCAATAGGTGAGATCATAATCATAAAGTCAATTGCCTATAGTAATATTGGTCAAAATTAACACGCTATAGGCAAGAAGGATTGACTGAGTTACTAAGCATAAATATACTGAATTACTTTTGAGCTATACCTTATTTGTGTGACGGCTCGCGATACAACCTGATTGAAACAACAGACCGTACTGATTTGAAAACACCTGTGATTATTTAGATCGAACCTATGTACATGTTTTCTACCTAGAGTAGACATGTTTTAAAATAAAAAACTAGGGCAAGGAGTTGCTGAGCAATATCCTCGTCCTCTGATAGATAGATAACCCGTCTTGTATGTAGCACAGGTAGTACAAGTCGAGCGACCTCTTTTATATTCATGAAGAGATTTCATTAACCCAACACAAAAATACGTCTTCAAGATAACTAAAAAAGGTAATATAGATTATATATGTAAAGCAAAATACTCAATTGAATAACATGCGATAGATTTTGTTACGGCTTTGGATTTCATTTAGGCAAAATTGCTTGCTTATAAAGAAGCAAAGGAGATAGAACTATGTCAGTCAAAAAACTAGATTTTTGTGGTGAATAATTCAATTCAACAACCTAATCTAGATGGGATGCACCATAAAACCACAAAACGATATTGAACACAGACAATATTTACTTAAGAAAACATCCTGAGCTGAAACCCCAGCAGATTTGGAATGATAGAGATTTTCAGTTCAAGTGAATACTTTTATCGTTTTTGAGCTTTATGAGCTAGAAAGTATAATTGCAATGGCTTTTTAGACATTCTGGGCAACATTATCACGACTTACTTTATGTAGAAGTGTTTTCCAGAAGAAAAACAACATATGTACACATATATATGAACCTTAACAGCCAGAACTGGCTCCTTCAATCGAAAAATTATTTCGATTAAAAAGGTTCAGTGTGTTCTGTTATTTTTGAAAAAAGGTAAGTGGAGAAAAGGCTGGAGCTTGAAATGAAACCCCCAGTGAAAATTAGGAATCTAACCATTCGTTCAGGTTCAGTTTTGAATACTCTATGGGAATCATTAAACTAGGAATAGAATAATCGATGAATATGTATGCAACAGTCAATAGGTTAATCAGTTTTAATCAAAGTAAAAACCTGATGAATATTGTGCATCGATTCATATTTCCATAGGAAATTAGCAAACCAAAGTGAAATTATCAATGTGAATACCAAAGCAGCAGTATCAATGTGATTATAAAAAAATGAGACATAGGAAATGAGATTCAAAAAGGAAGAATGAGTAGATAATCATAAACACAAACTCCAAAGTGTGAACTAATTAAATGTAAAGTTGGAACTAGAGTACGGATAGACAGCTTAACGTAATATATATATATATATATCCGCCCGCCATACACAACAATCCACTGTTTTAAAAAATATCGTCCTGTTTGACATTTATTCACAAAAAAATACCTTAATAATAAGTATGCATATACATATATCAATAATTGTAACAATAAATACAAGAAATAACTATAAATTGGTACTTACACGTCTAAATTCATCCCGAATTCTTTCCTCCAAATTGTCTAATTTATTCCTTATTTCTAATTATGTATGTGAAATAATAATAATAATGATATTATTAATAATTATTATTATTATTATCATTATCATAATTATAACTATAATAATATGGTAAAAAAACAATGATTTACGCATAGCAGATTTGCAATGCCAAAACAAGTCATGCTAGATGTAAACTAGAATAAGAGATAGAATAATTAGTAAGTACAAAAAAACCAAGCAAATTTTTTATGATTAAGAGCTTTTGAAACGAAAGAGAATAATTTTTAATTTATTACCTTTAAAAAGTAATAATAATATCTACAAGGCGGATCGAACTATTAAAAATTTTGGAAGAAAATTAATACGCAAGATAGTTTGTCCGACGTTGAGATATGCTTTATTTTGAGTGTGACAGCTAAAGATATTGAGCTGTAATAGAAAATATAAGCGAGGGATAGGAAAATGCATTTTCAATAGACGGTCTATTTCTTGATCGAGGAAATCAGTTTTACAATAGTTATAAAGAACAATCAAAAACAGTGATCCATGTGACACTAACCTTGTAGCAACGGATCTTTATCAGCACGAATAATGAACTCATTTCGTTGGTTAACATAGTCCAAATCTATGTTGGATTCCACTAGATCTTTAAACAGAATAAAGTTATCCGTGGCTTTCTAAGGAGAGCAGAGAGAAAAAAATATATAAAAAGCAATTCATTTATCATGTTTACTGACACGTAAATTCATGATAGATATTACTTTTAAACACTTCACCGATGGCTTAAGTTTAAAACCATTGTGAATATAGCTGGTCAAATGTCGAGGGATTTTTGACTAATGACAGCAGCTATGATTTTAGTTAGTCCCCATTTTTGGTACTTGTATCTGAAGAGATAAAAACACTGAAATTTTACTCTTAGTTTTGATCCACATTTATATAAATGTGGTTTGGTTCCAGTTATGATCTCATAAAGCTCTTTGTTTTTGCTTATTTAAGCTGAATTCTCGCACACAATTAAACCACAAGACTTGATCTATTTCCTGCGATCTGAAAAAGAAAACTCAAATGGCTCTTTGCTCTACGAGAAAGGTAATCTGTTTTTGAATGCTATTCAGTCAGATGCTACTATTATACCCACCGGAAAGCAAAGATAATTAGATTATTGTGGATTTTAATCACAATCTGTACTTGAAATCCATTTGTTTCACTGGTGTACCTACTTTTAGAAATTTTCTATGCAAAGCAGTTGGCTTTGTTTGGCATTTCATGCTATCGAATCAATATTATAATAAGGCTACAACTTTTCCGTTTGTTGTCTACCTAATCCTTTCTATTATTACTGGTATTGTTAAACTTTCTAACAATCTGGGATTTATCTTGATAATTTCATTTCCCTATGCTAGTGTAGTGTGACAACTTACACCGATTCACATATGTGACAGGTCCTACATTGAGTATGACTGACTGACTGTAAACAAACCTAAAATCATCGCTTCTCGTATGCTTATGTGGATGTATTTTGTAGTAATGTCTCGTAACAAGTTTTCAGTTGAGTTTTGGTTTTTACATTATTATTGAAACTCATGTTAATTATTTTCTGTTCATGAAGCGGTGTCATAGAATGATCATATAATCAGTAAAATACCCTGAGGCCTGCAATATATATGATATAGTTTCAAGGGTTTCTAACATAAATATATACAACTTGCAGAAACTTTCAGATCTTACCAGTAGCCCGAAATTCGACGTCGTTAATACGTGTCAGTCATAGTGAACAAAGAGCTTGACACATATGATGCTTAAACAACCAGTTAGAAATAATCAACAAAGAGACAGACAATAATGTATGTCAACGAAAGCTGCTTGATAAGGGTGAACTCAGAAAAATAGACATCAACATAGAGCCCGGCTCAAACAGGAGTTGGTCTAAGTTGTCATATCACGTTAGGTCGACGAAATGAAATTAACAAGATGTACGTCAGAGAAACCGAAATAATGTAGCAGCAACCATAATAAGAAAGAATAAACATTAAGAATGTGGTTCGAAAAGTTGATGGGAAGGTATGTATGGAGGGATATTGGAAACACTGATCTATAGAGGTAGCATGTGAATGCATGCGCGCCACTGAGAGTCGTGGTAATCGGCGTTCATGCATACGTGACATGCCATAAGCTCTGACTAGACTGTTAATGATCGAGTAAAGAGCCCTCACAAATTTTATGCACTTCTGAGGTACTTCTTTCAATGACAGACAGTGCCACAAAACTTTTCAGTCTACATAGTCACCTGCTACGGGTAGTGTCTCAGCGTTTAGCTTTTTGAAGAATTAGCATATTGGAGCAAATACAGAGACGATGAAAAGTTGACAATCTGTGTTCCAAATTTTCCGAGTTCTTTCGGAGCCATTTAACCGAACTGCGCATAGGTGACTGTTAACGGTGTTCCACCCTTATAGTGCTTGTTCTGCCCTCGTACACAGTGCAATGCCTCCACCCGTCAGTCTACAAAAAAGAGCCATCAGATCGCTAGATAAACGAGTGTATCTTGTCGGCTCTCCGTTTTGTCGAGGTTAAATCAATTGAATGACTACGCTAGAATCCGGAGACGGATATTCGTGGGATAAGGCGAGGTGTGCATTTTTAGGGTCGAACCTTTCTAAATCCACCCCTGCTTGTGGGAAGGCAGCATCCCTATTATTCTAATTGTCTGAAGAAAACACCTAACCGCTGTTACACCTCTGTACAGTTAGCAGTACGACTTCGCCCTCGAACCTTTGGTTTGTTGCTTTTAGTCCTATCGCTCTTTAACCGACCTGTCTGGTATAGTAGGACCTTGAGGAACGATTGTTCCAGCCAGTATAGCTCAATTGCTTTATTACGATAGGCAAACCCGACCACCATGTAAAGGTAGAAGCAACGGTAGGGAGATTTCAGTATAGTGATAATAATAATTAAATTGGATAAATTCCAAATCTAGTATCAAAGACGAATCGGAGATCTTAATAAAGTGATAAGTTTATTTTCATATTTATTAATCAACGTTCGATATGATAGTCTAAGTTTAAAGTATATGGCACAGTATTTTTGATTGTCTAGGTGATATACAAATCACATAGGCTATAAATAAACTATGTATAACTAGGAACAAGTGAATGACTACATAAAAAGAATGATAATTCCTATAGTTATTGTTAGTTATTAAACAATGTGATTACAATCTAGTGTTTTCAGACTCCATTTAAGTAGAAACAGAGAGTAGAAATTTACTGCGTTCAAAGTTTTTCTTTTCAATTGCATACCACATTTTAATGCAATTCGAAACATATATTTATACACAACTAGCAGAATTATTTGTCCAGTAAGAGTTATGTTCAGATTCGGTCATACGCCAATTTCAGATTTATACATAGATAAATTGTAACAAATTTATTTTTATTCTCCCTATTAGAAAAATTTAGATAACAGATTATGAAAGTTTATGTTCTCAACCACTCAAAGTTGTGAAATTCGATAAAGTATAAATATTGGAAACATTGATTATGATTCGTAATGCGACTGAATGAGCGATGTTGAGGCTAGACACAAACTATTAGGCAGAGAAAGTAGTGTTGAGGATGCTAGATTCTCAGAACTTGCTTAATAAATGTCTTGTTTTTGTAATTTTATTTTGGATATTTGAATTTCTTATTTTCACCTTCATATCCTACTTCCTATTCGGTTTGTAGTCCCTTTTAATATGATATTTCATGATGTTTTCCATGGACATTTCTACGCTGTATATATACGCTTAAGTTGTGCTTGTTGATATTGCTGATGCTTTTGGCTGCTTGTGGAATATATTTCCCTTCTTCTGAACCTGGACCCCACTCTCTAGTTAGCGGAAGCTGGGACGCATCAGAATAGCTAGCTTCTCTGGTCATTAAGTCGCTGAATCTCCGTTTCCTTTTGCAGATTTAGGTGAGCTCGTAATCCCTCCAAACATAGCAGGCAGATTAATTGATTAGGTATTAGATCTTCATCAACTGAGGTGATGAATGTATTACTGATGTCGAACAACAGCCTACTTCGATATTTGGTGGTATAGGAACTAGTTGAAAAAAATATGGAGAGCAAAAGCATATAACTGGAACTAGTCATTGACTGTTGGTCTGAGCCACGTTGGCAAGGGTAGACTACTTGATAGCGATTAGATTGATAATCACGATAGCTTATTGGAAATATTGTGTGCTGTGGAAGATACGTTTACTCTTTTTTTGTAAATCTTGACTTGCAGTATTTCTTCAAGAATAGCTTTTCATTGTCTTTTCGAACAGTACTCTTGATGTTCAATATTTTACATTACCATTGAAACTAACATTAATTCGATTTAATTTGCTATTCTTTTTAATTTCATCACGTCGTGTTGATGCGATAAGATCGCTTAAAATGATTTTAACAATATTTTAAAAACGTTTCACGGTGCATTTTTCAGCATGCCTGGATATTCATCATGTATGAATGGAAACTGTGATGAAATAGTAACACACCATCGATATAATAAATTTGAGAAAAAAACACAACAAATATTCATAAATAGATATAAATACTTAAAACATTTTTATCCAATCTATGTGAAATAAACAACAGGTTGTAAACATAAATATTAATTCACATGAATATAAAGATGCTATTTTTGTGCATATTTTCAAAAAAAACCTTTCTGTTCAACGGACAATAGTAAACATTTTGAAATATTATTGTTAGTAATAATAACGATAATAATAGTAACAATGAAAAATGAAAAGTATTCTGTGGAAAGAAACAGGTCATATATTTTTTTTGTTTACACAATGCAGGTTAAGGGAATTAAGACATAATCTGCTTACAAAAACAGTAAAGCTAAATTTGTTGTGTAACTGATAAACACATCTGTTAATGCGCAATAAAGGAAAAATGTTAGCGTAGTGCACAACTTTCCACATCCATATTTATGATACATACAAATATCACACTGATTACAAATGAAGCTAGGGAGAGAAGTTTCGTCAGATTTACAACTCTATAGCTGGAAACTGAGAATAGATATATCAATGTTGATATAACCGGAAAAGATTAAATTGTGGGTAACTCCTGGAGACTATTTATAGACTGTTAAATAACTCGATTATGTTTATAATCTTTTTATCATAAGCTTTTATGTGACCTATTAACTACTATTATACGATTTAATATTCCTAAGTTATTCCCAATATGTTACTGTCTCTCACAATCACAGCCACTTTTTGGCTTGTTCTCGTATAATTGTTATTTCTTATTTTATGGTGTGGTCTGGTTTACTTGTATATAAACCAAGTATGTCCGAACCAAATGATTCATACAGTGGAAGCTGAGATTTATGATTTGGAACCTAACAAAAAGGCTAGGTGTGAAGAACTAAAATTGGCACTAGGTTGCTCAAACTGGTTAATACGTCCTTGGTTTGACACAGTCGGTGTTTTGATTGGTGATCTTAACATGTGATAATTAACAATGGAAAAAAATCATTGCTCGAATCTCGACTCCACAGTGATCTTGAGTGGTGTTAGAGGTATGAGGGCAGTCATCACTTCACAGTTGCCCACATTGTAGAAGGGTTCTTCTAGAGGCACCTGAAAAATAAATTTGGGTAAGTAGTGGATTTAGTGACCTGAGAGTGTGACCGCAGTGTCCAAGAGACAACTGCTTGAGCTCGGTTACAGATGATCTTTTTATGATTAATTTCCGTTTAAGCTCCGTAATTGCTGGGATGAGGTGTGCATTTTTAGGGTCGAACCTTTCTAAATCCACCCCTGCTTGTGGGAAGGCAGCATCCCTATTATTCTAATTGTCTGAAGAAAACACCTAACCGCTGTTACACCTCTGTACAGTTAGCAGTACGACTTCGCCCTCGAACCTTTGGTTTGTTGCTTTTAGTCCTATCGCTCTTTAACCGACCTGTCTGGTATAGTAGGACCTTGAGGAACGATTGTTCCAGCCAGTATAGCTCAATTGCTTTATTACGATAGGCAAACACGACCACCATGTAAAGGTAGAAGCAACGGATCATAGTTGAACAATCAATAGAATGGAAGTCGTCACCGTACATTAACTTAGTTCATTATGAGAAAGCGTTTGACAATGTGGATAGGTGAAATATATGTTATCGTCTCCTACACTGCGGCGTATCTAAAATTATCAACAACATAATACGGAATGATACGACGAACTACACTGCTCCAATTTAACAGCATGGATATTGCTATTTTTCGGGGGTTTTAATCTAGTTCCTACGATTGCAGTGCCATGCTTTAAATTTAGCAAGCGTTGGCAATGCAGTGATTATTTGTAGTACCATTTCGTCATCAATACGGGATAATAATCGAGTTCGAACATCGGCATCTGTGGAAGACTATAGTCCAAAAACAAACAATAAGCATTTAAATTGGTCATTTGATAATGTACTTAATTTAAGCGTTCAATTTGTAGATTAATCCTGCTTGCGTACGTCAGATAATCTTCACCAGAGTCCTTTTTTAACTGGAGGCATCTATAACGAATATGAAATAACAAAGCTTGTTCACAAAATATCTTGTTCAAAATACCAGCGGTTTCATCAAAACTCAACTCCCTTGGGTGTCTTGGCAGGATAAAATTTTCATATTTAGTGTCCTTGTGGGTCAAGTTTTTGTGATACCAATCTTACGTTCCTTTCATCCGAGAAAGATATTCGATGCTAGCGAACCATAATTCAAATATATGACCGCGTTCCGAATCAAAAATAAGTTTTGGGACTAATTTAAGTAATGGTTCTATTTCCTCATCTTTTGCGGTGCATTTGGACTGGATTGAAGATTTTGATGTAAGTGATGTAAGCATCTGTTCTTGAGAAGCTAAAAATTGACTCTGCTGTTGCTGAAGAAATAATTGCATTTGCTCCATTAAAGTTGACATATTGATTTTCTTCTTCTGCATGAGTCAGAACAGTAATAAGAAAAAGACTGAATGACTAATTAATAACTAATGTCGTGCAAGGACACCGACGACAGCTCTGTACGTTGTGTTCAAATAATTACACTGATTCTCGTTCAACTACTGGATGGCCTCGATTCCTTTGTGAAAGTCGAGGTCGTAGACTTTCCATCCCGTCGCCAACTTGTTGTCCTATGGTCCATCAAATAACGTGATAAAATCGCCTTTTTGAATACCGACTTATATAACCTTGCCCCTTTGCTAAAGCAATGATGCGTTAACCAGCACGAACAGCCTCCAGTCAACTCTCAATTCCTATTGATCCTCTGTATAGCAACTTCCCGCCTAGCACAAACCGTTCAGTCTAGAACAAAAATATCAGACTCCACTGTGTGGATCGTATATTTCAGACATACTCGGTCTACATACAAGCAGACCAGACTGCATCATAATACAGAATGAAAAAAGAAATGTCATACAAGACCACGCCAAAAGTATTTGTGAACGTGGGATACTGTGACCGATATGTTGGGAACAAGTTAAGAATGGCAAATCGTATTGCGGTAGCCAAATGAAAGCTTATGACGGAAGGAATGTAAACATATAATCTAGTTACTTAAGAGTTATATAATATTATATATGTATAGACAGTTCATCATTTTTTGTGTGTGGGCTGTGATATTGCCCAGGTGCCTAAACCGAAGCACGTGGTTTTCTTGGGGGGCCACTCCCCGAGCCTTCGACCTGAAGGTCTAACCCACAAGGCAGTGGAGCATCGTAAGAAGATGCAGTCCCATGGAAGCCGGTTACCAACAATTGGTTCATACGCCATTTGTTCCTGCAGGATACTGGAGCCCATGTGCACCATTGGTTTGGAATTCGGTCAAAGCGCCGGACATTCGGTTTTCGTTCTCTCATTTTCGTAAACAACACCCCCGCCACGAGAAGGCAGTCAGTAGGACTTCCCTGGCAGAGGCTATATACGCATGGTCATGTGAGAGCATTTCGAGAGGGAGAGCGGTCTCTCCCCACTTTCGGCCGTATATATATATATAATAACAGTCTATAAATATGTTCCAGAAGTTACACATAATTTAATCATTTTCGGATACAAAAGAACTGATTTTATTTCATGTCACTTGAGATTTCCAACCACGATTAACTAGAAACTATCACTTGGGCACTTTACAAATGATACCGATGAATTAAAAAACATACGGATATGAAGTTTCACAATTTCTGAATCTTGAATATCATTTAGATGAGTAATCGAATATAGGCATGAAATAAATAAATAAATAATAGACGTAGAATTAACAACTAATTTACTTGTAAAGGTGTTATAAGACATTCGTAAACTGTTGATCGTTTGGATCCCGTGTATTGATTCAGTAATGAAACAGCATATGGTAAGCGTAAAACAGCTTGATATATACGATAGACATCCTAAAGTGTGTAGAAATATAAATGAAGAATATTTTTGATAATAAACATAATCTTGATATTTACGAAATCAAATGTAACTGATGAGGTAGTAAATATTTTTCAACTAAGGTTAGTGAGACATATGCTGCATACGCCCAACCACCACTAACCTCGAAGCAAATGATGGCAAATGTAGTAGGTTAGAATAAAGTTAGTGTGGTCAAATCAAGACGTGACATCAATTCATGTAAACAATCCCAATTCGACTGGGCATTTAAGCACGTACACACTACCTGGTTGAAATCCACTAGATTATACCAACCAATGTTCAGAGACTTCGAACGACAGCTCGAAATTATCTGCAACGGCGCATTGCATTCTCTTTGTATTCTTTACAATCTTAGGTTCGTCAATTTCTCACAAATTTATTTTTAAATATCTCAGTAGCTTATAATTTTTTCAAGAATTGTATCTTGGATACCTAAACTTTCATATTACCATTATTTATTTATTTTAACACATAGATATTGGTACAAGGAGGCACCAAATACATATGCGCCACACAAATCTCATTCGGTATGTGTGAGGGCTGTGATACTGCCCAGGTGCCCAAACCGAAGCACGTGGTTTTCTTGGGGGGCCACTCCCCGAGCCTTCGACCTAAAGGTCTAACCCACAAGGCAGTGGAGCATCGTAAGAAGATGCAGTCCCATGGAAGCCGGTTACCAACAATTGGTTCATACGCCATTTGTTCCTGCAGGATACTGGAGCCCATGTGCGCCATTGATTTGTAGTCCAGTTAAAGCGCCGGACATTCGGTTTTCGTTCTCTCATTTTCGTAAACAACACCCCCGCCACGAGAAGGCAGTCAGTAGGACTTCCCTGGCAGAGGCTATATACGCATGGTCATGTGAGAGCATTTCGAAAGGGAGAGCGGACTCTCCCCACTCTCGGCCGTACCAGGGCATTACCATTAATACTGTTATTACTTCAACTACTCTGAGATTCATTTCGACATTTTCTTCTGGCTATGCAGATGAGCTATGGTAATTTGAGTCTGTGTACACGCATACCGCGTTCTATGTTGCGTTTAACTGACCGAATACACTTGGGAAAATAGATATATTATGCAAGGTTTCTTGAGGATAACTGACAGAGGAATCAAAAATTTTATAAGTGTGATTGTTGGGGCTTTGATGAAGAGATGCATTAGATTCGAAGACTTAAATAATTAACAGACAGCCGATATCGCATTTATTTTGCTTTACAGAGGCGACTATTATCATTCGTCTTTGACCAGATATATGTGAAACAGAAAGAAGGCATAGTTGACTTCACCATGCTCTCATAAGAACACATATCCTGAAAGAGAAGTATATAACATCCATTAAATGTTGTTCCAGCGACTCTTAATCATTTCGTTGATTTTATTCTATGTCTCGCTGTAATCAGGGATATTAAAAAACTAACGGATACAATCCTAATCTTAATCAACTATATACAAGTGAATCATAAACAGTCATGCTAATAATGGTGTAAATATCATACCCGTTGCATAAATTAGTGGTTATCTGGACTCAGTAGCTCAGTAAATAGTGTGTTGACGTTCGAAACGAAAGGCATTAAGTTCACATCCTAATATGAACATCAACACTGGAATACGGAAGCACACCCAGATGACCAGTTGCAAATAAGAAGAAACGTGCAGCTTGAATTTCCCTGTTAGCCACAATCCATCTACTCTAAAAAACCATAAAGTCTGGTTCATGTTATACGCTAACTGACGGTTAGTAAACTCATCTTCTAAAAATGTGTGTGGGCATTCTAGTTTCCCATAAAACATGATAGACTCATCTCATAAAAGCCAAACATCTCAAACTTGATTGGTTCTTAGACAAAGAACCAATGAATCAAATTCTTCTAGCTACCAACCTACGATAGATGGAAATCTATATATACATATATAGAGTGAGTATATTTTAATTAACCATTCTACAACTGATTTAATTAAAATAAACAAATCATCAGAAAAAAACAGAAGGGAGAAAACAAACCAAAGGTGTTCTTCTTTGTTAAAAAGTCGTAAATAAAAACTATGATCTATATAAAATGCTTCACGCTTATTTCATTTACAATAATTATCTATGGAACATTTGGACAATATTATAAAATATGGAGCGAATATCCACGGTCAATTCTACAAAATGAAGAAAGTTAGTTTATTTTTAAGATGCAATCTAAACCATATATATGTTGTGTAATTTTTAGATTACTTGTTTGTTTAAGCATCCAAAATAAATAGACAGTAATAGACAGCAAGTTTATTAACAACATGGAGGGAATAAGAATGACATGTGTACATGTTGAACTACATCAATCAAAGAAAGACAAATGTTTCACTCAATAAGATTAAATAGAGATAATTGAATGAACAGTATAAACTTTGATTTAATAGTCTAAACATTTAAGCGGTCAATTTTTCTGGGTTCTATGTGAAAGATATGAAAATATATTAGTGTGATCAACAGAAAATGATGGAAAGGGACGATTTAGATAGAATTCGACCTAAAAAAAACTGATTACGATCACTAAATTGCCAATATAGAAACCGTTTTAAGAAGCTACTGAAGTCGAGAGAGAGAGTAGAATAGAGTAATAACAACCACGCAAAGATTTTTATTTAATCAGTTTTTGTAGCCTAGACTCCTATACTCATCTGAATATAAGTACTATATTTTTCACCATACTAAAGGAAGAAACGCATATAGCTTGAAACAAAAAATTGATGCATAGTATATCATGATCAACTCTATACATAGAAAACTGGTTTTTTGGAGTACTAAAGTCACTCGTGATTCAATAACTATACGCAAGGTTAAATATAATTGAATATAGTAGGATTCCGAACATGTAACACAAGGGTATGAAAAATAATTGTATTACTGATTTAGATGTACGATTAAAGAAGTTATCTAATTGTAAATCGGATGATTCGACGAATTAATTAAGGCAATATCCCCTCTAACGTGAAAACTCGTTTAATTCTCACTAGAGTATAATTGAGTGATAATCAAACGGCATTTATTACTAAAAGTCCTGAATCTTACTTTTAGTTACGAAACTGGATAAAGGACAGTTATTATGTGTAAAACAAAAACATAGAGTAGTTTATAGAGTACTAAAGTTAAAAAATTATAGTTAAAGTCCCCTGTCATTTTAATAAGTTAGTAAACTTAGGACTTTTAAGTACTTATACTGGAATTATTACCATAAGATACTTGTCCAGATTATTGGATTTCATACTTAATACCACGAACTATTCTAGGTAAAACACTCACTGAAAAAAGGAGCAGTAGACAGCTTTTTTGTTCTTATATGTGACCTACCATTATAATTGAAGGATGGCTGAGAAATACTGCGAAGTTATGAATGTCAACCATTGAATGGTAATTCAGTGATTCTAATAGCTATACGTTCATTATGAGACTTGACAGTCGTGGGTTAGATCCTAATATGAAACTCCTCGACAGAGCTCACCAAGGATCAAAACTGGGACTATAAGGTCTCATGGTGCGAACTTAACCTTTACACCACTGAGTTGGAATCCAATAGCTTGCATTTCACCATTCTGAAAACATATCTTCCAATGTTATTAGTGTGTAACTGATCCACATCCGACGATTATACGATAGGACTCAGAGAACAAAACACCTTTGAAATGGTTCAACTCCATTGGTTACGACTCCTCACTAGGATTTGGGAAATGGCCTCAATTGTGAGTGCATTATGTAGTCTTTGAAGTTGCATAATAATACATATCGAACAATGATAATTAGTAATGATTAAGTCAGTCACATTCACGCATATCAGAAAATATATATATCATATTCTGACTTTTAAAAAAACAAGCATAAATGATATCATTTTGCTTTGAACAAATAGTTTTTTCTACACTGATAGTTTGTATTTAAAGTCAATAATTTATAAAATTAAGAGTGAGTAGTACGACGAACAAGAGTATTTAACTAATCAATTGTTTTTTTCACATACTAATTGCGTTTTTAAGTAACTAGTAAATTTATTTCTATCTTGCCTCTTGTAACTTAGAAATATATGTCACAGAAAACTTCTTCAATTCAATTTAACTGAAGTAAACAAATAAGTGTTGTTTAATTACACCTTTTTGAATGTTAAAGATTCCCATTGTGAAAATTAGAACACATATAAGCGAACAATTGTTTTCAATTTGATCGTCATCAGGCTTTACTCTAATATACATGAATATTTATACGAAAATGTTAAACCAATCAACGCATTGTACAAAATAACACCATTTTTGTTCGGATTCTGTCAGATCATATCAAAGACTATGACATAAAAATTTAAAAAATAACCAACTGAATCATAACTTCAAATGCGTCTGCAGTGCTTGTGTCACTAGTTTGTATCCGTAGTCTTACTGTTTATACGTGACAATCGGGGACCACTGTAATTCCCACGACGCAAAGCGAGAACACAGAAGACTGATGCAAATGGAAATCAATTGACTAGTTCAAAAAGTCTCAAGATACGTCGTTGTTAGACCAAAATATACCCATTTATACACTGGGTTTTACACATAGTATCATAATGTACAGGGGAAATTATATAGGGTTACTGCAAAAACACTGAATGTAGTGTGCCTTAGATGAATGAAGGTTCATGAAGGTCATATACAATGAAATTCATACTGAATTGATATAAAAAATATTGACCGAAAATGATGTCACGTTTTTATCCCATTATATCGTCATCAACATCAGAACATGGAATTTGAAAGAAGCTCAAATCAAAGGGTTACGTACATTGCATTGAAACAGGGATCCAACCCCGAAAACTCAGGTCTTTAGGAGAGTGCTTAACAGTCAGACCTCGGAGTTGACATGTAAGAGTAAACATTTTTAGCTTTAATCAATTCGTGAGGGCATACAGTTAAAGTCTTATACTAAGATGAAACAGCTATCCAATGTCCCTTGGTGTATAATGACCCCCGCCATAGTGGGGTCAATTCATGAACAATATCACAGAGAGCTTATATTGGTCTCCATAAATATATCAAACCCTGTAGTTTAATTACTAACCACATGAAATATTCTGTTAATGGTTACACAAAGTATGATGTTTTACTTCTTCCGTTTTTTTTGAATAAGTAACCAAGTAAAGGTGTAGTTTTATTTTAACCGATCTTGTAAAAACAGCCTTCAAATTAACAATCGTTTTCAATCTACTTGACTGGCGATAATTTGTCAAAGTCGGTTAGGTTTTAAATTTTCCAACACCCGAAGGTAGTTGTCATCTAACATTAGGTGAGATTGGAAATTGGCTTAAGCTATAATCTGACCGAAATATATGTTACATGTTATTCATTTCGACGCGTACAAATCCATTTTACTAAAGATCCTTAATTCATGTTTTTGGTTTTTTTTAATGGCTTTAACTCAAAAGTGACCATTTTACTTAAGATTATTACTTTAAGCTAAAAATCATGTAACCTGAAGAGAATTTATTGAAAATAATATTTACAGGTCAGTCACAACCCGAAAAGCTCCATGGAAACCTCTCAACGTTATGAACCTAGGTGACCCGGGTTTGAACATATTTCCCCGAAAAATGGAGGTACGCCTTGATAACTAGTGTCAAATAACATGGAATCTAGGTTCAGGGTTTTCTGTAGACTACCTCCCACCACCTAACGTGTAGTGAGCATTTTTCGTCCACATAATGATTCTACTTTGATAGAAATATTAAAATGGTTAAATCTTAATTAGACCAAGAAAGCTGGTGTTGATAGTTTATAGAATACTAGTTAGCCAACGAAATCATTCTAAGCTATGTATAAAATGAAAAGTACGCAAATGAAATCTGTCAGGAAATTAGGTGACAAAGTTGCTTAAAGTAAGTGTCAGTGGTGCAAATACATTTACAAGTTTTTATTTTTCAGTCAATTGTTAAATATCATGTTAGAAATATATATTTTAAATCGTACTTTCGTCTGTTTTTTATCGTCTCTTTCCTTAATAACTGTTTTTGCCTTAGAAATTTTCGATCTGATAAATATGGTTGTATTCGCTTTTTAATCTATCCTACTATTGTGTAGTTGTTATGGTTTGAACAAATACACCATTGGATTTGGGCTCTTTATCAATTACTGATAGCCTGTTAATCAGGAGGTTGTGAATTACCCAATACAGTTTTAGTTTTCATATCACGAATTGACGTTAGTTAAACAACTAGTGGAAATCATAAAACAGGATAAGTATTTTAATCTAGTATGGGACTCCGTTGCAATTCCCATCAAACACCACACTGGAGATTAAACGCAAGACCTTCAGGTCACATGTATTTAGATAAATGGTCCATCTTGTATGGATTGTTGGGGGTTTGTTTCTGCTAAACGCGGTAGGTTTTAGCAAAGCATGAAAGTCTGAAGCTACTCGCTTTTCGTTTTGACGTTATTAAGATCGATATAAAGGTTGTTAAAATAGCATGTATTGTTATTGTTGGTTTGATTTGTAGATTCCCCCGCTCTGCAGAATCGTTAGGTCTTTTAGTGTAGCTTATATGATCTTTGGTGTGAGTCATAATTTCACGAGACTCCCATACAGAACGCATCAAAATTTACACATCCTAGTCTATAGACACAGATTCTATATTTAAGTGATAGAAATTTGATCTTTTGTTTGAACTAAAACATTTTGAAGAGTGTTCGTTGTTTTATAGAGAATGCTAGGATTCTGTATGATCTAAGGGTTCATTGTAATTTGTTCGTTGTGCTCAGATGATATAGTTGAACCTAGTTCATGATGTGTACCATGAAACCCAACAAGCTTTCAATACTAGTAATTTTTCCCTTAAATTTCGTCACCTTTTGTGTTTTTGCATTTGCATTATATGATTTTTTTCAAATAACTAAACCGTTTTTTAGAGCTCACATTTGAGATTAGAATAGAATAAGAGAAATAACTAATGTAATTATTTAAATGTATCATGTTTTGGATCAGAAGTTACATAATACACGAATCGATATGAAAATCAATTAAATCCAGAGATGAGTGCTGATTACACTGCGTTTAAGTGTATAAGAAATCATTATTATTAAACAAGTCTGATAAATTTGAGTGTAAACTGATAAGTCGCTGAAAAGAATATTCTTCGTTTATATACAAGTGATTGTTTTTTTCACAAACTGTTACGGGCTATAGATTAGATACCGACGGATGTTTCGTCCTAGTATGGGACGCCCTAGTAGTGCGTAATCATAACCCAACCGACAGTCGAACCCAGGACATTCAGATCCTGTTGCGAGCGCCTAACATGTAAAATACTAACTAATCTCCAGGGGTGATACTTGAAGTTCTGTTTAGAAGCCACGACTAGTGGAGGAAGTTAAATACCAATGGCATGAGGAGATGGCTGCTTAGTATCATGGATTGACTGAAGTTAGAAGTGTAAGCAAATGGATTCCAACTTACTGATCTCAGGGTTATGTGGGTGTCAAGACCTGACGGTCATAGATCGGATCCATGGCAAAGTTGAAAACACGCACTAGTGAGAAGTCCCACACTAGAGCAAAAGAACCGCTAAATGCACTCTGGTTTCCAGTGTCTGTCAAGCTAAGGTCAGTCCATAGTGCAAACTACAAAACTCATTAATCCTCTCAAACCCCTCACATTACCAAATGTTACTTCTGAAAAAAAATAACCAACTGTTCTTTTAATAGGATTAACAAAACGTCCTTGGACTTTACGTGACCCACTGAATTGTTGCTTGGATAATGCTAAATGTTGTAGGCGTAAAAGGTACTTTGGAAGAAAACTGGATGAAGATGACGAAGATAAATTTGGTTTGACACGGGGAAAACACTTTTGGAAAAATCGTGTATATCAGATTAGAAATCGAATGAATCCACTACTGATAAAAAAAATTTACTCATGAAAGAATGAATATGTATTGAGTTCTAAAAATGTTATTACTATATTGTGTATGTATCTGTCTATCCATAAATATCTTAAAATAAACATTTTTTTAAACATTTCATTATGATTTGTTAGAGACGAGCATGTCGG